CGCCGGACATGGGCGCGGCCGGCTGCGCCGCGGTCCCGTTCGTCGTCGCGCTCCCGGCGGACGCCGCCACGGTCTTCGAAGGCAACCGCGCCCCGGACGGCGGCGGCGGCGGCGTCTACTGGGAGGACTATGCGCCCGACGGCCTCGACGCGGCGCTCGGCGGCAACGCGGCGCTCTACGGCTCCGAGGCCGCGACGCCCGCGCGCTACCTGTCGCCCGTGCCCGGGGACAACGGCACGCTCTACGTCGGCGCGTCGGACAGCGACGCGTGGGCGTCGGGCATCGCCGTCGAGCTCCTGGACGCCTACGGCCAGCGGGCCGCGTCCGCGAACCCCGTCGTCGCCGTCGTCGGCGACGCGGCCCCCGCGGAGACGACGGCCGTGAACGCCATCGCGTCCTTCGAGGCCGGCGTCGCGTCCTTCGGGGCCCTCGTCCTGGCGCTCGCGCCGGATCGGTTCGTGAACGTGACCGTGTCCTCGGACGTGACGACCTTGTACGACTCGGCGGTCCGGGTCGCCGTGTATTTACGCGCGTGCGTCGCGGGCGAGGTCTACGCGTCGGACGGCGCGGCGTGCGTCGCCTGCGCGGCGGGCACCTACGCGTACGACGGTTCGTGCGCCGACTGCCCGACGGGCACGGCCTGCGGCGCGGGCGAGACCGTCGAGACGCTGGCCGTGCTGCCGGGCTACTGGCGCGAGGTCGCCTCGTCCGCGAAGCACGTGCGCCAGTGCGAGTTCGACGGCGGGAGCGCGTGCCTCGGCGGGTCGCCGGGGGCCAAGGCCTGCGCCGAGGGCCACCGGGGCCCGCGCTGCGAGGTCTGCAAGGGCGGCTACGCGTGGCACGCCTCGCACCAGCGCTGCGAGGCCTGCCGCGGCTCGTCGGTCGTCTCCTTCGGGCTCTTCGTGCTCCTGGGCGTCGCGGCGGTCGGCCTCGCGGGCTTCGCGGTCTACCGGACGCGCCACACCTTCGGCCACCTCATGCAGCGCAACCTGAAGAAGGTCAAGAAGCTGAAGAAGTTCAAGGCCAAGGCGAAGATCATCGTGTCGCTCTTCCAGATCAACGCGTCGTTCCTCGAGATCTTCGAGGACGTCGACTACCCGAAGTCGCTCAGGACCGCGTTCCACTGGATGAACGTCTTCAACCTCGACGTCGTGCCCCTGCTCAGCACCGGCTGCGTCGCCCACGCGGGCTTCCACTACAAGCTCGTCGTCGCGACGGCCGCGCCGCTCGCGCTCGGCGCCGCGTTGCTCGGCGCGAACCGCTTCTCGCCGCTCTTCCGGGGCCAGCTCTTCGGCACGTTCCTCTTGCTGACGTTCCTGATCCTCCCGGGCGCGTCCGTGACGATCTTCAGCACGTGGGCCTGCGACTCGAACTACGAGACGTGGCACGTGCTCAAGGCGGACGCCTCCGTGGAGTGCGACTCGCGGACGCACCGGCTCTTCGAGCTCTACGCGACGATCATGGTCTTTGTGTATCCGCTGGGCATCCCCGCGTTCTACACGGCGATCCTGTACAAGTCGCTCAAATACATCCACCCGTCGGTGAATTTGGACGGCGTCGAGAAAGGCGACATCTTGATCAACGGCGCGCCGCTGGAGGCGCTCGAGCTCGGCGACGGCGACGACGCGGAGGCGTGGCGCGCGGAGATGGCCGTGCGCAGGGAGGCGCTCGCGGCCGTCCACGCGCTGCCGGCCTTTGCGAAGGACTGCGAGGCGGGCCGGGACCACCTCCGCGACGCGGAGATGCGCCTCATCGTGCACGGGAGGCTCGCGATGGCGGAGAACGCGTCGCTCGCGTTCCTCTTCGAGCCCTACGAGCCCCAGTTCTGGTACTTCGAGGTCGTCGAGGCCGTGCGGAAGATGCTCCTGACGGGCGCGCTGGCGCTCCTGGGCACGCGCGGGTCGGGGCAGATCGTCACGGGCATCCTCGTGAGCACCGTGTTTTTCGTCGTCGCCGCGCACCTCAAGCCCTACATCTCCGACTCGGAGGACTACATCTACACGCTGTCGCAGTGCTGCATCCTCTTCTCCCTCTTCGCGTCGCTGTGCTTCTACTACGACGTCGGCAAGGACGAGGGCTACCCGACGCTCGCCTTCGGGGCGGCGGTCGCCGCGGTCAACATGGGCGCGGGCGCGATCGCCGTCACGTCGGACGCGTTCTTCATCGCGACGTCCTGGGAGCTGCTGTTCCTGGCGGCGGGCGTCGCGCTCCTGGCCTTCGCGGCCTTCCGGGGCCACTTCCCGGAGACCGGCGCCCGCGTCGAGCGGCGCTGCGCGCCGGCGCGAGGAGCCTACGAGCGGCTCCGCGACAAGGTCTTCCACCGGAACACGCCCGTCGCCGCCGCCGCGCCGCCGCCGCCGCCGGAGGCCGCCGACGAGTGGCACGCGATGCTCGGCGCCATGGAGCGCGCCGAGCCGTACGACGTCGAGATGGAGGTCTTCCGCGACCGCTCCAAGGCCGAGGTCGACGAGGACGTCGGCGGCGCGACGATCGACGTCCACGCGCGCGCCGCGCCGGACGAGGCCAAGGACGCGGGCGCGGCGCCGCCGGCCAAGGCCGGGGCGGTCCCGGGGCTGTCGGCGACGCCGACGCTCTTCCGCGACGCGCGCCCGTCGCCGACGCTGGAGCTCGTCGTCGGCGACACGGACCCCGGCCGCGCGGAGCTCGCGACGCCGACGAGCCCCGGGCCGCCGCCGCCGCCGGGCGGGACACGCGGCGCGACGCCGAGCGCGACGCCGACAGAGCTCGACGTCTGGAGCGGCCGGGCGGGCGGCGCTAACCCGCACCTTTAACGAACCTAGCCTAGGTCAGGCTGCCGTACTGGCCCGCCTCGTCGGCGGGCGCCGCCCCGAGGCCGTCGGGGCAGCAGCAGCAGCCCGCGAAGGTGCAGGGCCGCGGCGCGTTCTCGTCGAGATACGCCACCGACGGCGCGCCCGGCGTCGGGTACATGGCAGCGTGCGCCTTCTGGTCGCCGAAGCCGTCGACCTGCTGGTTGTAGCGGTAGGCGTACTCGAAGACGATGGCGACGTTGCCCGAGATCTGGTTGAAGACGAAGACGAGGAGCGTCACGACCGTCGACGTCGTCACGGAGCTCGACGACTGGAGCGCGGCGACGGTGACGAAGGTCAATATCGCAACGACGCCGAAGGAGAGGCCGACGCCCACGGAGTAGCCCCCGAAGACCGTGTCCCGGGGCGCGTAGCCGAGGTACGGCCCGTAGTCGTGGCGGACGATGCCGTGGAGCGCGTGCACAACAGGTGTGAGGAAGAGGCCCACGAAGAAGACCACGAGGAGGTAGCCCGTGCCCAGCGTCGCGCTGTCCACGTGCACGTCGATCCACTTCGCCGACGCGTTCGAGAGCATGACCTGCTGCACCGTGAGCGCCGCTTTTACGGACATGGGCTCGGGGTCCAGCCGGTGCCGCGCGCCGAGGAGGAGGGCCGCCTGGGGCATCTGCTGGTACCAGAAGAAGGTGAAGTCCTTGCGGAAGTCGCCGTACCAGATGACGCGGTCCTCGCGCAGGCCCGCCGCGTAGGCCGCGGCGTCGCGCTTCTCGTCGGACGTCTTCTCCACGGACGCCGCGTGCTCCTCGGCGACGAGGGCGCCGGGCTTCAGGGTCCCGACGACGTAGAGGATCACGGCCCCGGCGATGAGGATCCAGAAGATGAGGAAGCCCGCCGCCTCGTCGACGGTCGCCATCGTGACCGCGGCGGGCGGCCGAAGCGTATCTTTCTATGCGCGTTGAAGCCCATGTTTTACTCGCTCTCGAGGCGCGAGACGACGTCGCCCGCGGTCGCCGCGCCGGACTCGAAGAAGTCCGCGAGGCCCTCGAGGGCGCCGACGCGGCCCGCCTGGAGCGCCGTCGCGTCCTTGAGGGCCCAGCGGACGCGGTCGCCGTCGTCGCCCGGGCTCGCGAGCCCGCGGCTCCGCAGGAGCGCGAGGAACGCGTTCGCCTGGCGCGGGTCCGAGGAGACCAGCTTCCGGTGCTTGCGCCGCTCGGCGGCGACGCCGCTGAGGAGCCAGACGAGCAGCGCGTGCACCGTGCCCTCGTCCGCGTCGCCGTCCTCGAGCAGGTCCGCGGCCTCGAGCGCGGACGGCGAAAAGGGGAAGCAGGGCAGGCCGAGCCAGTAGGCCGTCGCGAAGGACGCCGCCTCGCACTCCGCGTCGCGCCGCGGGTCGCTGCTGAGGAGCCGGTCGAAGCCGTCGCCGACTTTCGACGTCACCGCGCCGCCGTTCTGGGTGACGTCGAGGCCCGCGAGCGCCGTCGCGAGCACGAGCCACAGCTCCTCGGGGAGGGCGTCGAAGCCCAGCGGCCCGCTGGCGAAGACGAAGAGCGCCGGCAGGACGACGACGCCGCCGGCCGCGAGCGCGGCCGAGATCTCGGCCGCGCGGTCGTCGGCGGGCACGTCGGGCGCGCCCTCGAGCGCGCGCTTGAAGAGCGTCGCGTCGGACGGCGGCAGCGTCAGCGCCGTCTTCTGGGACGCGTAGCGCCGCGCGCCGCCGCTCCGCCGGCTCAGCCGCAGGACCTTACCGACGACGTCCGCGTCCCGCCGCGTCGCCGCGGCGTCGACGAGCGCGGACAGCACGCGCGGGCCGACGCTGCCCACGTTCTTCGCCGCCATCTCGTCGACGAGCGCCAGGGCGCCGTCGATGTCCGGGCGCGAGTCGCCGCCCGGGGCGACGGCGCCGAGGAGCAGCGCTTCGTACTTCTGGTCGTCGCTGAGGTTCGCGAAGGTCTCCTCCAGCCGCGTCGACGCGAGTCTCGCGTGGCGCGCCGGTCGCGCCGGCGGCTGGAGCGCCGCCGCCATCGCGGCGGCGGCCCAGAGGACGGTTGCAGGCCGTCGTCGAGCCATCGCGCGATCTGCAAGGAGAGCTCGTGCGCGCTGTGGCAGGCCTGTTGGGAGAGCGCCGCCGCCGCGACGCGCCGCGCGCGGGCGCCGGGGTGGTATTACAGTAGGTCGGCACACCGGCAATACGCGATGGTCCGCGCCGTGTCGACGCCCTGGCGGTCCCTGGGCCTCGCGGCGTCGGAGCTGAAATTGGCCCACACGCTGCCCACGGGCCAGGCCTTCGGGTGGGTGCGCGTCGGCGACGAGTACCACGGCTGCCTGCGCGACGCGGGCGTCGCCCTGCGCGAGCACCCCGTGAGCGGCGCCGCCGAGTGGCGCTGCGACGCGTCGCGCGAGGCAGCGGCGGAGGCGTACGTGCGGGACTACTTCCGCGCGGACGTGTCCTTCGCCGAGCTCTACGGCGGCTGGAGCCGCGCCGACGCGCGCTTCGCGAAGATCGCGACCGTCGTCGACGGCGCGCGCGTGCTCCGGCAGGATCCCCTCGAGTGTTTGATTTCGTTCATCTGTTCGTCGAACAACAACATCCCGCGGATCACGCTCATGCTCGGCCGGCTCCGGGAGCTCTGCGGCGACGTCGCGGCCGTGCCCGGGGGCGCGGGCATGGAGGCGTCGGAGCCGCGCACGTTCCCGACGCTCGAGCGGCTCTGCGGCGTCGAGGAGCGGACGCTCCGGGACCTCGGCTTCGGCTACCGCGCGCCCTACGTGGCCAAGACGGCGCGGCACGTCCGCGACAAGGGCGGCGACGCCTGGCTCGCGGGGCTGCGAAATGCGGACCGCGCGGACGTTAAGGTTGCGCTGCTCGAGTGTGCGGGCGTCGGTCCCAAGGTCGCGGACTGCGTCGCGCTCTTCTCGCTGGACCAGGCCGACGCCGTGCCCGTCGACACGCACGTCTGGCGCATCGCCCGGCGCGACTTCGACCCGACGCTCGACGACGTCGCGTCCATCACGCCCAAGGTCTACGACCGCGTCGGCGACCTCTTCCGCGACCGCTTCGACAACGCGGGCTGGGCGCACACGGTCCTCTTCGCCGCGGAGCTGCCCCTCTTCGCCGACAAGCTCCCCGAGGACGTCGCCGCGGAGATGCGGGCGTTCCGCGTCTTGGAGAAGGAGGCGGCCAAGGACGCGCGCGACGCGCGGAAAGCCCGCGCCGCCGCGAAGGCGGAGCGCCGCGACGCCGCGGACGACGTCGCGACGCCGCCGAAGAAGCAGCCGAAGAAGCAGCCGAAGAAGAAGGCGGCATAGGCGCTATTTACAAACAGGGACATCATGGGGCGCCGCCTCCTAGGCGACGACGCCGGGCGCGGCGATGCCGAGGAACCGGTTCATCGCCGGGAAGACGTCGGCCGGCGCCGCGTCGGGCTCCTCGGGGACGGCGTCCTCGGGCTCCTCCTCGGCCTGCGCGTCGTCCAGGCCCTCGCCCTTGGAGCCTGCGGGGGTCGAGCGTCGCTCCGGCGGGGTTCGCGGCGCGACGAGCCGCGCGCGCGCGCCCTTCGAAAGCCGTCAGAAGATTGAAAAACCGGTTCACTCACGGTAGATTCAGACAATACATGCATCAAAAAATGTTTCCTCATGCGGCATCATTCGCGCGCTGGGGACGCTGCGGAGACGCGCCGAGCGGGACTATTTCCACTGCGGTGCCCTCGACGACGCTCACGGTCGACGCCTGGATCTCCTCCGGCAGGTCGCGGCTCCCCAGCGCCGCGAGGAGTCTGTCGAGGTAGTACATTTGCGCTGGTTTTGCGAGTCGAAAAGACGTCCGCCACCTCGACGATGCTGGCGAAGGTCAACGAGTTCGGATTGAAGGGATGAAGCAGTAAACATGCCGTAAGAGTAGGCGAGTACTCTTACGTGAACGTGTTCGCCACGGAGAGGAGCAGCGCCTCCGCGTCGAGGTCGAGGGCGTAGGTCGCGCCCTTGGGGATGACGGCGCAGTCGCCCGCGGCGAAGGCCGCGGCGTCGCCGTCGACGGTGAGCGCGGCGGTCCCCGCGCGCTGCCAGAGGAAGATCTCGAAGGGCGCGACGGCCGGCGCGAGGGCGCCCGGCCCGACGTGGGCCTCGCAGATGACCTCGTCGCCGCGGTGGAGCACCGTCGCGCCCGCCGCGTCCGCGTCGCGGAGCGCGGCGAGGCGCGCGTCCGTGTCCTCCGGCGGCGCCGTCGCCTCGTCGGCGTCGGCCTCGACGGGCGGCGCCGCCTCGCGCACGGGCGCCGCGCCCGACGCCCGCCAGTCGCCGTAGCGGCCGATGACGGGCGCGAGCTGCGCGCCCAGATCGACGCAGTGGAAGTACTCCTCGTACGCGACCGCGCCGAGGTCCGCGGGCGCGCCGTCGCTCAGGTCCGCGGCCTCGTCGAACCAGAGCATGCCGTCCATCTCCTCGGGCGCGTGGGATCTTTCAAAGACGAGGCCGAGCGACCGCGCGGAACGCTGCGGCGAATGCGGCACGTGGCCCGGCAGCCTACGGCAAAAAACGGTCGGTTTGCCCTTGGAGCGCTGCGACGCCGGCGGGACGCGCAGGAAGGTCTGGCCCGCGCCCACGCGCACGTCCTTGAAGCGCCCGCGCTCGACGATCTTGAGGCAGAGCTCGCCCGAGAGTTGGAGGAAGAACTCCTCGCCCGTCTGCAGGTGGTAGTCGCGGCGCGCGTTCGGCCCGCCGACGACCTGCGCGTCGGTGGTAGTGTCGGTTTCGCGTCGCGCACGCGCGGCGCGGGCCGGCGCGCCATGACTTTGAGGTCGCCGCCGAAGAGCAGCTTGTTGGCCACCGGCGGCTGCAGCGTCGGCCCGTGCTCGTCGAGCCAGGCCTGCAGGTTCAGCGGCGCGACGCTCGCGAGGCCGCGGCGCGGCGCGGCGATCCGCGGGAGTCGGAGAGCGGCGCGGCGGAGGAGCGCCATCGGGCTCGTGAGCGCCATCGGCTCGTGCGAGCTCCTCAACGTCAGTGCAAGAATGCAACACTGCTTCATTGAAGTGTTTCAACATCTTTTGAGCCGGCATTTCCTGGTGGGCTGCGGTTCCAGGCGCGCACGGAGATGATGGGCAGCCCCAAAAGCAAACCACAAGAGCCCAGCTCACCCCGCAATCACAACAACACACCACAAGAGCCCAGCTCACCCCGCAATCACAACAACACACCACGATCACACACCACGCAACAATGTCTGGCATCAAGCAGCTCATCGTCCTCGCCCTCGCGCTCCCCACCGCCCAGGCCTTCTGCTGCTTCTGGTCGAGCACCAACGACGCCTGCGAATGCGACGCCGTGGCCTCGGACGGCTCCTGGTGCGCCGCCTCGGAAGACCAATGCCTTCAGTGCGGCGACGCGCAGTGGTGCGACGACGAACCGGAGGAACCCGAGGACACGTGCAAGGGCGACTACTCCGCGTGCCAGGGCTGCGGCGGCGAGCAATGCACCTACTGCTCCGCGGAGCAGGACGTGAACTGCTGCGTCGCCGAGGGCGGCGACCTCTACGAATGCTGCGAGGCCTCGGCCCCGTTCTCCTGGCGCTACTCGATGAACGAGTGCGACTCCGTCGCGCACAAGACCCCCGAGCCGACGCCGGCGGAGCCGAGCTGCAAGGGCGACTACTCCGCGTGCCAGGGCTGCGGCGGCGAGCAATGCACCTACTGCTCCGCGGAGCAGGACGTGAACTGCTGCGTCGCCGAGGGCGGCGACCTCTACGAATGCTGCGAGGCCTCGGCCCCGTTCTCCTGGCGCTACTCGATGAACGAGTGCGACTCCGTCGCGCACAAGACCCCCGAGCCGACGCCGGCGGAGCCGAGCTGCAAGGGCGACTACTCCGCGTGCCAGGGCTGCGGCGGCGAGCAATGCACCTACTGCTCCGCGGAGCAGGACGTGAACTGCTGCGTCGCCGAGGGCGGCGACCTCTACGAATGCTGCGAGGCCTCGGCCCCGTTCTCCTGGCGCTACTCGATGAACGAGTGCGACTCCGTCGCGCACAAGACCCCCGAGCCGACGCCGGCGGAGCCGAGCTGCAAGGGCGACTACAGCGCGTGCCAGGGCTGCTCCGGCGAGCAGTGCACGTACTGCGCCGCGATGGAGGACATCAAGTGCTGTCCACAGAGTGAGCGCCGCCTTCCACCGCCGCCCGCAACCCCCAACTCGTGAAGCACCTCAATCATTAGCTCCGCCGCCTCCGCACGAACGACACAAAGGCAACGATGACCGTCTCCTCCGCGGACCTGCTCTACGACCCGCAGGTCTGGTGCTACTTCGCCATCCTCGGCTGGTCGCTGCGCGGCCAGGTACGACGCGCGACGCGCCGGGGCCTCGCCGCGGCCTGCGCGCTCGTGGGCATCACCTGGTTCTACATCTTCCGCTTCACGCTCGCCTACAAAAACGGCGGCGGCGCGAACCTCTTCGACGACGCCTACGCGGACGTGCTGCGCGGCCCGCACGCGCGGAGCTCGTGCCAGCTGCTCACGTGGGTCGTCGTCGCCTTCACGCTCGCGCCGTCCAGGGACGTGCTCTGGACGGGCATGCTCGGCGCCATGTCCGCCGCCTACTCGCTGTCGCCGCCGGACCTCGCGCCGCCGGCGCGCGTCGCGACGCTCGACGCGGCGTGCGCGCTCGCGAGCCTGGCCTGCGTCGCGTCGCTGCCGCGGCTCCTCGACGCGCCCGCGGCCTTCGGCGCCGTCCTCAAGGCGCTCCACGCGCTCCTCGTGCTCCCGCGCTACGCGCCGGCGCTGCCCGGCTCCGTCGACGCGACGGTCTTCTACGGCGCCGTCGCCGTTTTGGTCGGCGCCCGGCGCGACCGCGTCTCCGCCGTCCCGGCGACGGACTGCCAGGCGTCGATCTTCGTGGACCTCGTCGCCTGCGCGGCCCTGAGCGTCGCGGCGGTCCGCCGGCGCCGCGGGCCGGGCGTCGCCGCCGCGTTCGCCGCCGCGTCGCTCGCGCTGTCCCCCGGCGGCGCGCTGGCGCTCTACCTCGCGCTCGAGAGCGCCGCCGCCGCCGCCGCGCCGCGCGAACGGACGGCGGCGCGCTTCGGCCGCGTCCTGGTCGTCGGCGCGGGCGCGTCGGGCCTCGCGCAGGGCAGCAAAAGGGTGCGAAATTCCCAACTTCAAAGGCTCATATCTCGGCCGTTTTCCACTCGTTTCGGCTGATCTTTGGACGAGCGATCATCTCTCGAAACGGTCTCGAAGCGTGGATGTTTTTTCGGTAACGCGCGCGCGCGGAACACTCACGTTGAAGCGACGTTGAATCACCCTTTTGCTGCCCAGGCCTCGCGACGGCGAAGACGCTCCTCGAGCACACGGACGCGGACGTCGTCGTCGCGGAGCGCGCCGGGACCGTCGGCGGCGTCTTCGCGGACGCCTACGAGGGCGCGCGCATGGTCTCGTCCAAGTACGTCACGGCCTTCTCCGACTTCCGGCTCGGCCGCGGCGCGGAGAGCCACCTCGCGCTCGACGACTACGTCGCCTACCTCGAGCGCTACGTCGACCGCTTCGGGTTGGCGCGGACCATCGAGTTCGGGACGACGGTGCGCGCCGTGGCGCGGGCGGGCGGCCGCTACGCGGTGGAGACGGAGGCCGGGGGCGTCGCGCGGACGCGCTCCTTCGACCGCGTCGCCGTCTGCTCCGGGCTCCACGCGCACCCGAAAACGCCGGCGCTGTCCGGCCGCTTCCGCGGCGACGTCTTCCACAGCCGGGACTACGCGTCCCCGGGCCGCTTCGCGGGGAAGCGCGTCGTCGTCGTCGGCGCCAGGGCAGGACAAGAGAGCGAAATTCCCAACTTCAAAGGCTCATATCTCGGCCGGTTTCCACTCGTTTCGGCTGATTTTTGGACGAGCGATCGTCTCTCGGAACGGTCTCGAAGCGTGGATGTGTTTTCCGGAACGCGCGCGCGCGGAACACTCACGTTGAAGCGACGTTGAATCACCCTTGTGCTGCCCAGGTCGGCGCGGGCGAGACGGCCTTCGACGTCGCCCACGGCGCCGCGTCCGCCGGCGCGCGCGCCGTGACCATGTCGACGCGGCGCGGCTTCGTGTCCGTGCCCGCGTCGTTCGGCGAGGGCGTCGCGCCCCTGGACTGCATCATCGCCAACGCGGGCACGCACTGCTGGGAGAGCGCGTGGGCGCGGCGCGTCGGCCTCCACTGGTGGATCACGACGAAGTTCCAGCGGCTGGGCATGCTCATCCTCGGCGGATCGTCCACGGGCTGGAACCAGTGGGTCGGCGCGAGCGTCCACATGGACTGGACGGAGGGGCGGAAGCACATCGTCAACAAGGCGACGAAGTGCATGCCGCTGCTGAACCGGAGCGCCAAGGGGCCCGCGTGGAACCCCTACCGCTTCTGGGACAGCGCCGCGTCCCACGTCGCCGTCGGCGTGGACCTGCTCGACAAGTACGAGCCCGTCAAGTTCGAGAGAGACGGCGTCGCGTTCCGATCGCTCGACGGCGGGCCGGACCGCGTCGTCGAGGCGGACGTCGTCGTCTTCGCGACGGGCTACCGCCAGAAGTTCCCCTTCCTCTTCGGCGCCGGCGCCGGCGACGACCCGCTGCCCGGCCGCCACTTCCTGATCGACGACGCGGAGCCGGACCTCGCCTTCATCGGCTTCGTGCGGCCGACGTGCGATCCCGCCCATGGCCGAGCTCCA